AATAGAGAAAGTAATAGAAAATGATAAAATTAAACTGCTCTGGGGCTTCAGAATTTAAACAGACAAGCACCTGCAACATAACACCCCAGACTTAACAAATTCTCTATTAGTCAATTGCAAAAGGCGGCCTTACTAGGAACTGCTTCCATCCTGCGATGATACCTGTAATACCATCAAACATCCACATCTGCCTATCCCAGGTCCTCGGTAAGGACTCGATAGGTAGACAAAATGCCAAATCCAGTCTGAACATCTGGCTGACTGTGTGATGATCAACAACAACAACAATAATAATAAAAAGTTGGAAGGGACTTTGGAGGTCATCAAGTCCAACCCCCTGTTCAGGCAGGTAACCCTATACCATTTTGGACAAATGGCTATCCAGTTTCTCCTTAAAAACTTGCAGCGTTGGAGCATTCACCGCTTCTGGAGGCAGGTTGTTCCACTGGTTAATTGTTTTGTCAGGAAGTTTCTCCTTAGTTCTAGATTGCTTCTCTCTTTGATTAGTTTCCATCCATTGCATCTTGTCCTGCCTTCAGGTGCTTTGGAAAATAGCTTGACTCCCTCTTCTCTGTGGCAGCCCCTGAGATATTGGAACACTGCTATCATGTCCTCCCTCGTCCTTCTCTTCATTAAACTAGTAATACCAAATTCCATCAATTTCCTTATATGTTTTAACCTCCAGTCCCCTAATCTTTGTTGCTCTTCTCTGTACTCTTTCTAGAGTCTCAACATCTTTTTTACAGCACGGTGACCAAAACTGAATGCAGTATTCCAAGCGTGGCCTTACCAAGGCATTGTAGATTGTATTAATACTTCGCGTGATCTTGATTCTATCCCTCTGTTAATGCAGTCTAGCACTGTGTTGGCTTTTTTGGCAGCTGCAGCACCCTGCTGGCTCATATTTAAATAATTGTCCACTAGGACTCCGAGATCCCTCCCACAGTTACTACTATTGAGCAAAGTAACCCCTATACTATACCTATACATTTGGTTTTTCTTGTAGAACCTTACTTTTTTCACCATTGAATTTCATTTTGTTAGATAGTGCTCAGTGTTCAAGTCTGTCCAGATCCTACTGTATCCTAAGCCTGTCTTCTGGAGTGTTGGCTATTCCTGCAAGCTTGCTGTCATCTGCAAATTTGATGAGTTCCCCATCTATCCCTTCATCCAAATCTTTGATGAAGATATTGAAGAGCACTGGGCCCAGAACTGAGCCCTGGGGCACCCCACTACACACTTCCCTCCATGTAGATGTGGTTCCATTGAGGACCACATGCTGAGTACGGCCGATCAGCCAGCTATGGATCCATCTGGTGGTGGTGCTGTCTAACCCGCATTTTTCTATCTTATCAAGTAGTAGGTTGTGATCTACGTTGTCAAATGCCTTACTGAAGTCCAAGTAAATTATATCCACAGCATTCCTCTGGTCCACTAATTTTGTCACTTGATCAAAGAATGCAGTAAGGTTTGTCTGGATCTTATTGAGAAGATGATTCTTCCTCCTACAGTTTTGAAAAGGCAGAGAGCGATATCCCCATGGCTTTAACCACCAGACTTTCTTAGCTCTCCGGTCTCATAAAGTATCCCCTTTGCACTAAGGCCTAGTTGATACCGGACAATACTCATCCTTGGAACTCTCAGTATCAATATGTATGAGAGGGAAATTGACAACTGTGCATGAACAGTAGCTTACTGTGTGCATACATTTACATATCTCACTTAGAATTTAGAGATTTGGGAGTTAGATCCTAAAGATTGACATCAACACTTAATTGTTCATATTTAAAAATTGAAAATGTGAAAGATATATCTTGTTTCTTTTTTATTCACCCATATACCTCTGTCTTTTCCATGTCCGTCAACTTGACATGGAAAATATATATTTAGAAGAAAGGGTTGTTGAGATGAATGGGTTATACTTCCAGTTAAATATGTATACGGTACTTAGAAAGTCTTAAATGCATAAATAAGTATGTATAGATTTGCAACTGAACTTTTTCTTTCATAGGCTCCTGGTAGCTGAGTAGCCCTTAATTTTACAAACCTTCCCAAAATGAATTTTCTTAAAACAATTCCCCAGCATACAATAAACTGAATAACAGTACACTGCCCAGTTGTGCCATATTGTTAATCCTCATCTACACTGCAATCTGAAACTTGACAATTACTTTATTATTATTATTTTATTAATATTAATAATGTATAACATATTGATAGAGTTCATTTAAGCATTCTTTTTTTAAAGGCCTACCAAATAAAAACATATTGAATAACTTAATTTACAGAGCTATTTTTAATTCTCAAACACTGTGGAATTGAGACATCTGATTTTACTCTACAACTACAGTACAGCTTTGGTATCTTTTCTTCCAGCCAAAATCGTAAAAATAGAAATTAGAATTTAGTGGAATAGCATAAGTGCCATGCTCCTGATTAGAGATAAGACATAGGGAAAAAAGGAGGGGGTGTCTTTTCTGCCCACCCCTTGTTTTTTGTTTATTCACATTCTGTAAAATTGACAAAAATGAATAGTCTTTTATTAGAATTTTTTTAGGAAGATGAACAAAATGTTATGATAATACAACTTAGAATCCTGTATTCCCTCAACATGAGTTCTTAAAACCATGCAACAGAAAAATACTTTTCCACCAGGTGGCTTCCTTTGGGAAAAACGTTGGAAGGAGTTCAGTCCAAATTTTTGAGAACCATTTTTCAAACCCCTCCCTGCATTTAAAACACAGTCCTTTACCATGAAGCTGACCTTCTCAATATTGAACTGGATTCATATCTTCTGCCATTTGCTTTTCTTTCCAGTCAGTCTGACCTCTCTAATGATGATTGACAGCCTTCAGTGCTTCTGGAATCAAATAATCCAAACCAAACTGAAGCAATGACTATTCATGACCAATCATCAACTTGATGGGCTACAAACATACTCTAACTGATCTCAGATAACAGGCCATTGATTTAGAGCTGCAAGCTGACTTCTTAACCCTACCCAGAAACAGCTTCTTGAGCTATTCTGCACATCCTCTCCAACCAGCTAGATATCTCAGTTGCATAATAATCCCAAAATTCAGACAAGCCCCTCCTTTAGCCAGATTCAATACCCTTCTAACACCTGTTACTGAAAAAAGATACAAAGAAATCGCCTTCAAACAAAGACTAGGTCTGTGCATGGATGAAATAACTAAATCAACGGAACTTGCTATGTTCTATTGTTCCCTCTATGCAGGAGCACAGCATGACTTATTTCCAGTTTAATTAAAATACCCTGGTCATTCTAATTCATTTTATCTTAAAATGCTGACTCTATCATAATCTATCTATAGTAAAGTACTGCTCAGTAGTCTGCCCTTTACATCTTTGAATTAACTCTAACCCCTCTTAGATATTTTAGAATACACACATGCATATATCTATACACCCACAAATACATTTCTTTTGTATTTTATTTTAATTAACTGTGATTTCTGTATTCAACATGCTAGTCTATGACCAAATAAAGATTTGATTGAAGAAAGTGATTTCAGTTCTTCAGGTGAAGACAAGCAGAGCTTGTAAAAATAAGATGTATTTCTGCCTTCAAAAACAGAAATATGCCATTTTTATTTATGCTGTCCCTGATAGTTGTTTAGAGTGTATTTGTTTCTCTCTTCTTACTAGTTTGGCTGGATCTCAAAAGATTGAATGAAGTAGAAAGAACAAAAATCATTCCTATAGAGAATGACTTAGAAATTAATTATCCTGGGGAACCAGTTTGGTGTAGTGATTAAGGCAACAGTCTTAAAATTGGGAAACCATGAGTAGTAATTCTGCTTTTAGACATGAACTCAGCTGGGTGATTTTGGGCCAGTCATTCTCAGCCCTAGGAAAAGGGCAAAAGAAAACCACTTGGAAATTTTGCCAAGAAAACTGCAAAGATTTGTTCAGTTAATGGTCAAAAATCAAGACTGGCTCAAAGGCAAAAAAACCCAACTAACAAACAAAATCTGATTGTCCTTGCTCAGAAGACACAGAAAAAACTCCACAGATTTATCAAATTGAAGAAACTCACTTCTCAGGATCTGTAAGATTTCCTTTAAGATTGATTTTTAAAGTACCAAGGAACTTAAAAGACATATGTTACAATTTTTTATTAACTGGTATGAATTCTTAACTCGCTATAATTAATCTCTATTGTCTTGTCTTCGCTATATAAATCATAATTGAATTCTTATTAAATCAAACCTGACAAAACCATTCATGTAATAAAACTGAAATAACACAGCATCTTTAAATCTATGAGAGAATACCTGCTTTAGAAAAGCATCTTAACTTTTATTGAATTTCCTGGATATTTTGCTGGGACAAATGGAGAGTTGTGGGGAGATTCCTGATTGTAAAATGTTCAGAAATTTTGTATCTCTGCTTTTGACTATTTTCAAATGTTTCAAATGAAGAACATATAAAGAACTTCACTAAATATATGAACCTATGTTTAATTTAAAACATGAGTGAGAATTTAGCATGCACTTTTCATTCATTCTTATCAGTGAATTCTGGACCGGGGCCATATTCATCATCTATAAAATGCCATGCTTTGTAGAAAATGTGAACATGCAGAAAGTGTTCATATTATCATCACCTTATTCTTTCAAATGGATTTTAGAATTTTTAAAATGTTATTTTCACATATCCTTGGGCATTTAAAAAGTCTACATGAATAAAAATTATACTTTTTCCTGTTCCCTTGATCACCGCTTGTTCTATTTCATATCTTTTAGATTGTAAGCCTAACAGCAGGGGCTCTGTACTATTTTCAATGCAAAAGCATAATAATGTTTTAAACAAAGAAAGCAGCAGTGATTTGATCCAAGCATAAGAAATCCAGTACATATGGTTTGTGATGCTACTTGGGAGGTAAAAGATTGCTAGTTTTCATACAGTGATACTGTATGTAATCTTTCTTCAGGTTATCTGGTATTCATTTTTTTCTTCTCTCTTTCTCCTTTAGGAAATAATAAAGTTATTGCCCTTCCATAGGATATTCCTGGATAGACTGGAAGAAAATGAAGCTATAGACCAAGATCTCCAAGCCTATATATTACACCGAATACAGAGCAGCTCGGAAATACAAAATAACATCTCTCTTAATGGCAAAATGGACAATACAACCTTTGGGAAACTCAGTTCTCATCTCAAAACCCTGAGTCAAGGATCATACCTATACCTTAAGCTTACATTTGATCTAATTGAGAAGGGCTATTTGGTATTAAAAAGCTCCAGTTATAAGGTAGTGCCTGTCTCCCTTTCGGAAGTATATCTACTGCAGTGCAATATGAAGTTCCCAACACAGTCTTCCTTTGACCGGGTAATGCCTCTTTTGAATGTGGCAGTGGCATCTCTACATCCTTTGACAGATGAGCATATTTTTCAGGCTATCAATGCTGGGAGTGTTGAAGGTACTTTAGAATGGGAGGACTTTCAGCAAAGAATGGAAAACCTTTCTATGTTTCTTATCAGACGCAGAGATATGACCCGCATGTTTGTACATCCTTCATTTCGAGAATGGTTGATTTGGAGGGAAGAAGGAGAAAAGATCAAGTTTCTTTGTGATCCTAGGTAAGTAATTAATCCAATTCTACAATGAAGGAAAGCACTTTAAAAAATGAATGCAGTTCTGAGCTGCAATTTATAAAAATACACTCATTGAAAGCTAATATTTTCTAAAATGTGTCAAATAAAATCAACTTTGGAAAGGGAAAATTGTCTCCCTGATGCTAATTTATCATGACATGCTATTAGATTCCAAACAATTTTGAGTCTTTTATTGGATGGTTTGGGGCCAATGTGGCAAGATTTCCTTGGTGTAAAATAATTCTGAAAGACAGACTTGATTCCCTTACAAAGCATAGGTTTATTTGAAAAAGAAGAGTTGAAAAATACGCTGTGATGACATCTCTTTACTTCTGAGATTACAAGGGGTTTTTCTTTGGACTTTCGGAAAAAGATATCAAAGCCAAACTACATTAATCATTTTGTTTATATGGGGATCTTCTCAATCAAATATAAAGATGCCCTTTTTTTAAAAAAAAGTGCTATTTTACAAAAGAAATACAGGAAAAAAATAATTTACAAAAATAGTAATAGCCAATAAATTAATTATGAAATTTTGTTACCTTAAATACAGATGATAAAGTAAATGACAGTGTTGACAATCTGGTAAGGAAAACCCCATCATCTATAGATAGTCTCAACTTTACCATGAAATCCTTGGTTGCCTATCTTATCATGTAAATTTTCATGTGAGACTATCAATCTGAATAAAATAGCTATTTAGGATTAATATTGGGATTTTGTGTGTGTGTGTGCGTATTGTGTGCAAAACAAAATATTAAACATAACACATAACATGTCCCCCTTGATTGAATACTAATAAATATATTTCAACAATAATAATTCCCCACCCTTGCAAAACAATTCTTGTTAAATCAGTACATAATTCTAAAAATATCACAGATATGAAAATAGCAATAGCAAATAGACTTATATACCGCTTCACAGTGTTTTACAGCCCTCTCTAAGTGGTTTACAGAGTCAGCATATTGCCTCCAACAATCATTTTATCAATCTCGGAAGGATGGAAGGCTGAATCAACCTTGAGCCGGTAAAAATTGAACTGCTGAACTGCAGGCAGCCAGCAGTCAGCAAAGTAGCCTGCAGTACTGCATTCTAACCACTGGGCCACCATGGCTTCTATTATCAGTCAACCAATTTGACATACTACCTATCTACTATAAAAAGAAAAAGAAAAACAGGTACAAGTAGTCCTTGACTTATGACCATAATTGAGCCCCAAATTTATGTTACTAAGTGAGAAATTTGTTAAGTGAGTTTTGCTCCATTTTATGACCTTTCTTGCCACATTTGTTAAATAAATCACTGCAGTTGGTAAATTGGTAGCATCGTTGTTAAATGAATTTGGGTTTCCCATGGACTTTGTTTGTCAGAGGGTCACAAAAGGTGATCACATGGCCCCAGGACACTGCTACCATCATAAATATGAACTAGTTGTCAAGCATCTGAGTGTAAATCACATGATCATGGGGATCCTACACTGGCCATACATGTGAAAAATGATCATAAGTTATTTTTTTCACTGCTGTTGTAACTTCTAATGGTCACTGAATGAACTGTTGTAAGTCAAGGACTACCTGTAATCCCAACAACAAAGCTAAGCTTCAAAGTCCTCTGATAAAAATCTGTTATTGTATTTAACTCGCAGAAAATCCACTAACAGCTTTTAATCTCCCATGGACCCACTATAACAATAGTTCCTTTGAGTTGATCATCTATACTTTTCCTTAAAATTATAATTGGGACTGCATGTCACTCTCCAAAATTATAGGTCTTCATTGAGAATATCTCAGCAGCACTTGTTCATAAATTTTCCTGCAAATTGAAACACAGTATCTCTTAACAGTTGTCTTCTGGTTGCATCTTCACTCATCCATCCTATCATCTCTGTTGTAACTGAATTTTTTGAGATAATATCCCCTTCAGCCTTCTCCCAATTGCATGTCTGATTTAATTGCTGTTGCCTGAATCTGAGTATCTACTTTAGACAGATTTAAAACTTTTGCTAATTCATCAAACTGTTTATCTATTTTTTCATTTAGAAGTTGTAAGATAGAAAGAATGGGTTTTTTTTTTTAAAAAAAGTTGGAATCTCTGAGGAGGAAGAAACAATAGAAAGCAGACCCTCCCTAAACCTTGCAGTGCTTATATAGTAGTTTCTCTAGTGAGTGCATTAGTCTTATATTAGACTATAAATGCATTAGACGAAGAACAGTAAACATACCATTTTGTTCAGCTACCTGTGTCATCCTGGTTCCTTGCATCTGATCTATATTTTAGGTATTTTTCCAGTGACAAATACCAATGATAAATCATTTTATAAAAGTTCTCTTTAGAATTAAAACACAATGTGAATTTCAATTCATATATTATCCCATTGTTCCATTTGTATATTATATCCAAACATTTTGCCCATTTTACCATACATTATTTCACTTATTCATATTCTATTTCAATTTCCAGTAAGCATTTATACATTTTAGCAATAACATGTAAATAATTCTGTTTCAAATTCTGTCTTACCATATTCAAAACCAAAAAAATCATTTTATTTTATATTAATCTTTCTAATAATTGTACATAGGAAAACTATTGACATATGAACTCTTCTGATATCAAATCCTCTAGATTTCATGTCAATGTTTCCTTGGAAGAATTCTAATAAATCACCAATTATGCTTAGTTATGATTTCTCTTTTATAAAATGCCTCTTATGGTGACAGTCATAAAGGTACTTTTGGAAGCAACTTAAATTTATATCTGTTCCACATTGTTAAGATGGCACATCTAACAACATGATTTTTAAAATTATGCTAACCTTAATTTTGTAATACCATAAATAGCCATGCCATCCAATAACCTTATATCACTCAGTGTCACATACTCTTTCATCCAAATTAAACAACAATCTGCAAAGTATAATTTCAAATCAGGTAAGGCCTAAGCTACCTCTTTCTCTAGCACTTTGGAACACCCTGTTCTTAACTCACAATTTTTACTTGGCACATAAATTTAGATATGTCTTTCTTCCATTGTTTACCTTAATTGTCAAAACTAGTATTGTCTGAAACAAAAATAAAATTCTAGGTAAAACTTTTATTTTAATCACAAAAATTCTTTCCAACAACGATAGTTGTAATTTTTCCCATCTTGATATATCTCTTTTAATTTCCTTTTAGTCTTAACATAGTTATTTGTTTGAAACTACATACAGTTCATATTTGTCAAATTAACACCCAGGTATCTCTCATTTTTTTAAAAAAATTCATCCATTATCCTCTCAACTTGTCTTATATCACTATTCAAAACTTTAAGAAACAAAATAAACAAGGGGGGGGGAGATAATGGGCAGCCTTGTTTTGTTCATTTTTGTATCTCACAAAGTTTAGTTAAATCTCCATTAACTATAATTTATGCTCTTTGTGTATACATCATTTTTAGTTTTTTATAAAATTCTTTCCAAAGTTCATATCTTCTAAAAAAAAATTTTAAATGTCATTTTAAGGTCAACTTAAATTGCCAAAGACTTTGCATCTAAAAAAATTAATGCTTATTTTTTGTTTGTTTGTTTGTTGTTGTTGTTGTTAATTGCGAAGTCGTGTCCGACCCATCATGACCCCATGGACAACGTTCCTCCAGGTCTTCCTGTCCTCTACCATCTTCTGGAGTTCATTTAAGTTCATGCCTACTGCTTCTGTGACTCCATCCAGCCACCTCATTCTCTGTCGTCCCCTTCTTCTATTGCCCTCAATCTTTCCCAGCATTAGGCCCTTCTCCAGTGAGTACTTCCTTCTCATTAGGTGGCCAAAGTATTTGAGTTTCAACTTCAGGATCTGGCCTTCTAAAGAGGGTTGATCTCTTCTAGGACTGACTGGTTTGAACGCCTTGCAGTCCAAGGGACTCTCAGGAGCCTTCTCCAGCACCATAGTTCAAAGGCCTCAATTCTTTGTCGCTCAGCCTTTCTTATGGTCCAACTTTTACATCCATACATTGCAACTGGGAAAACCATGGCCCTGACTATACACACTTTTGTTGGCAGGGTGATGTCTCTGCTTTTTAGTATGCTGTCTAGATTTGCCATAGCTTTCCTCCCCAGGAGCAAGCGTCTTTTAATTTCTTGGCTGCAGTCCCCATCTGAGGTGATCTTGGAGCCCAGAAAAATAAAATCTGTCACTACCTCCATTTCTTCCCCATCTGTTTGCCAGGAATTGAGAGGGCCAGATGCCATGATTTTGGTTTTCTTAATGTTGAGTTTCAAGCCAACTTTTGCACTCTCCTTTTTCACCCGCATCAAGAGACTCTTTAGTTCCTCTTCACTTTCTGCCATTAGAGTGGTATCATCTGCATATCTTAGGTTGTTGATATTTCTCCCGGCAATCTTAATTCCAACTTTTGATTCATCTAGCCCTGCCTTTCTCATGATGTGCTCTGCATATAAGTTAAATAGGCAGGGCGACAGTATACAGCCTTGCCAGATTCCTTTCCCAATTTTCAACCAATCAGTGATTCCGTGTCCAGTTCTCACTGTTGCTTCTTGACCTGCATATAGGTTTCTCAAGAGACAAATAAGATGGTCCGGTACTCCCATCTCTTTAAGAACTTGCCACAATTTGTTGTGATCCACACAATCAAAAGCTTTAGCATAGTAAATGAAGCAGAAGTAGATGTTTTTCTGGAATTCCCTAGCTTTCCCCATGATCCAGCATATGTTGGCAATTTGATCTCTAGTTCCTCTGCCTCTTCGAAATCCTGCCTATACTTCTGGTAGTTCTCGACCCACATACTGCTGGAGTCTAGCTTGTAGGGTTTTAAGCATAACTTTACTAGCATGTGAAATGAGTGCAATGGTGCGATAGTTTGAACATTCTTTGGTATTGCCTTTCTTTGGAATTGGAATGTAAACTGACCTTTTCCAATCCTGTGGCCACTGCTGAGTTTTCCAAATTTGCTGGCAAATTTTGTGTAGCACTTTTACTGCATCATCT